AAAGCGAACCCAACAATTTTAACGACTTCTATCACAATGTGCGCCGTTTGTGGCATGTACCTGCTGGATAAAGGAGGAGCATTTACATCGGTGGAGGGGGGGGAGGAACCTCGGAATTCTCTACAACAAATTGGTCGCGAATGATGTCTGCGTTTGCTTCACCTTTGTCCTGTGTTCCACAGACAAGCTTTCACGAACTAAAGCAACACAGCCGTGAGCCATGTGGAGAAGTTTAGTGTCGCAATTTCTCCAACTACATCCGTGCATAGGTGTCGGAAATGACACATTTGTTTTGGAGCAGATTTCCACTGTCTAGCCCTCGAAGCAATTGACGCCCATCAGCTGCAGGAGAGCCTGATTCTGCCTGTCAGACCGGACGTAACTCCAGGTCCAGTTGAAGGCGCTGAAAAGACCAAGCACCGTGTAGCGTCCCAAGACTTCGTATCGGGTAGATGTATTCTAAGGAGAGCATAATAGGTAGACCTGAGCATGGGCCACACAAATCGTAAAGTGACCGTCAGACCTCACGTGGCTACATAAGCAAAGTGTTACACACCGTTTCTCAGTCTCATGGCAGCTGTTGGCTGGTTCGTGGGAGCTTCCTTCCTTGCAGTACCGAATTTGTTGTGATGGCTGGTGTGAGAGGTGTACCGAGGAGAGTGTCGAGGACGACGCTCAGAAGAAGAAGGTGGCAGCTCACTACTTTGTTTATGTAGCCACCTAGTCTCCGGTGGTGACTTTAATATTCGCCTGGTTGTTGTAAACGTGGGCTGGCCTTCGGGCCAAGCTTAGACATGATGTCTTTGTTCTCCCTGAAATACATGTCTTCGGCTCCACTTGATGCCTTCGTCTACCCAGTGGGAAGGTGTAAGCAACAAAAAAATTATTTTTTTTTAAAACTACGATGAAAGTATTGTGTTAATTACAAGAAATTGGCTGAAAAACTATCCAGTTTTCTTGCACTGCTCTAAAAGACGGCACTGTTATGTCGCCGCCTTGTTGCGTGTCCAGAGGGTGGTTAAAGAGCTTGCATTACCTAGTAGCGTAGCCTTTCCGAAAGCGGAAATAATGTCCCTTATTTGACAACCACTGAAACCTCATACCTCGTTGTCGCCTCAGCCTCTCTCTGACGCTTCTTCATAAGACGATTTGCTTAGAGACGTTTTATTCGGCATCTCAGGAGAGCGGGAGCAGCAGTATAGAAATAGAGGAACGATTAGACCTAAAACGGGCTCGAGTAGGGTCATTTGATCTTTCCAGTACAACGTCAATCAAAACAGCATCTTTAATGCATCGCAATCACCTGCTCCTATTTACATTATGAATCTAAAAATGTGCGAATCTTTGGCTCACCATCTCCGTATCTGATTCGCATGCAAATTTTCTATCTCTTCACTGTCAGTAGTAAGTAGATGTCAAAATATCCAAAACAAAATTAACACGCAATAGCGGCATAAAATTCTACACTTGAAAAGGTTGTAAAATATTTCAATTTATTGCTTAGTCTTGACAACGTTGTCGTCTGAATCCCAAGTCCAAGCAGATCGTCTTCACTAGATCGGCGTTCAAATTGAGTCTTCGCCTCGGATCGGTATAAACTGCAAACCTTGACAAGTTTTGAGGGTGGAAAGTGCCCATTCATTTAACTCCAAAGATTCGATGATGAACTAAACATAGCAGCAAATGAGAAGTGAATCCGTGCCAGTTTTGAAGTTAAAGTAGACTTGATTGTCGGCTGTTGCAAGGATATGACAAATCTTTAATATCGTTTATACTATAGCGCCCTGAGCCTCTCCAACAAGTAAGAGATGGCATTAGGTTGGGCTGAAAACATAACTTCAGACAGAAAAGAGAAAGATTAAGCTATGGCTCGGCCTGAAGGCCAGCCCAGGCGCACGAGAGCAGGATAAGTCCCAAAGTAACCACCAGTCATGCAGATAGTCATGTAAACAAGTTATTGCGCTTCTAGTTTGAGTTGTGTGTCAGTTGATGTGAGTAACATAAAGACCCCATGTTATCTTACACTCTTTTTCAATTTTCGTACTTTGGTTGAATCTTAAATTATCGCCCTTTTTGCCCCTAACTTAGCCGAATTTGGCTTTGATCTCCTCAGTTCCCAAGTGCAGCAGCAACTTCGATGACAACCCTTCATTATGGTACCCTACCAACCCTTACTTTTTTCCAGACTTTTAGTTGCAAGGCGTTCTATGAGCTACAGTTAACAATCTCAGAGTAATAAGCAACTCTGCATAGTAGAGTAATAACTCTTTTTCATTTCATATTTACAATAATTGAAATGCATTACTGCATTGATGCATTACTATTTAGCGATTGCGTTGGTCATTCATTTCAAAAAGTAGCTTAAAAGATTATCATTAATAATACAGGTGCTTCATCTTCAACACTTCAGTTAAGTGCAATTTGAATTACCGGTGAGTTGTGTACATTATGTTGCCAATTTCTTCTCAAATCCAATATTGCTGGTTTCATCCTAGTTGTGCATTATGCAAGGCTGTCTTCAAAGTTGTACGGTGCGAATCCGACAACAAGCGTTAACGTGAATGCGATTAGACTACAACGGCCCCGTTACTGACTAAAGTGCCAGACCTCACAGTTGTTCAACGTTTTGCTGTTTTGGTGACCTCTTGTTTAGCACCAGACACGCTTATAACCTCGAGGCAATTAATTGGTTGGTTTGTGATAAAAGCATTTTAAATCACATAAACTATAAATTCCCTCTCATACATGATTAAATAGAAGCACTTTTGGCATTGCCCAAATTCGGCATCTCTAAGCGCCAGCAATAGAAACTTCATGTTGGTAAACCCGTCTAGTTTGAATTGGACAACGGTATACCTTGTTCATTCGGCTGAGCATAAAGAAAACAGACTTTAAATTGATTTAATAGCGAAGACTGGATGATATGGACTGCACATTTCGACCACTTGGCTACCTACCTTGTTTACGGTTCTTCGCCATTGCAAGACTGAACATGTTGCCATTAGGATGGTAAAATGTTAATCGCACCAAAGCACGCATCTCATAGCACATGTACCCAAAAACATGTACACTTATAATCCTCTTGCAAACGGTTGAAAATAGAACTGCACTTCTCCCTCCGGGTCTAAAATTAGTCACTACGCTGCCCTGAATGTGTCTCAGGATCAAACACTATAGTTTTAAATATGTACCAACGACTTCCAATTGCCTCTCAAGACACCGCTACTTTGCTAGCATGCATCTCACGCTTTTGCTGGATTGTGTAAATGTCTCGCTGGTCTTCATTATCACACCAATGTAACTGAATTTTAAACAGCTAAACAACAACGTTCCAAACCTCAGTTACGTCATGTCAGTGAAGTCTTGTGCGATTGGTGATGAGCCTCCAATTGTACATAAGTAGTTCAGTACCTGTTCTGACAATGAAATTATCATGACTTGAATTTCACCTGAAACCGGTTTTGTCTGTTGATCACCGAAATACACTCAAGATGCGATGATCGTGGTTGGTGAGTTTAGATGACGAGGATTTGGTTTCTTTGCCCCAAAGACTGTGAAAATTATTGCTCTAGAAATGGGTTCAATGAGCATTCAATTCATTAAATTTCTGAACTGGTCAACTAAAGTCAGCTGTTGGTGTGAAGTTCATACTGAGGAAGCTTTGGGTTTTATTTGAAACCCTGTCTCCAAAAGTTCGCCCGTCGGAATCTTTACGTGTATGCGTTGGCCTAAGTTTAACTTCGGGTTTTTTATAAGTAAAAGAGTTAAATCGTATTCTACTGATCAAAGTAAGTGCGGTCTTTTAACTAAGTGCATAGCTTAAGCTCAACCGTATGCTCTTTCCCAAGAAATCCGAATAGACAAATCAACCCTCTAACATCCTCTTAGTAAAACTTCACTTTGTCCTCTACTTGTACAGTTTTTCGCCTCAAGTTTGTAACAGAAAACAGGGTTGTACTACCCAGCATTTGTTAAAAACGCGGAGAGGCGGAATAACACTCCGAATTTCATGCTCGATGAGTCAACCTACCCAACCTCGAATCAAAAATATTCGCGTCCTTCCCTTCTTCCCTATTACCACCCCCTATATTCTCTGTTCCGATGCTGAACAAAGCTCGTGTATGCAAGCCCTCTTGAGGAGACAATGAAGAGGGACGCGGACATTATTGATGAAGAAGTCACAAGGACACTTTAGAAGTGAGCATTTTTATGGAATCTTAGTTAATTGTGAGTCGTTTTTTGCTGTTACCAACAAATGTTCATAAGTTAGTATGCCATTTGTACAGCATGACAGGGGGCGAATGTGATTGGTTGGGGCCTCTACGAATCCCCATTTTCATTGGTTCAGCTCTTCATCCACCCCCGCGCCAAGGCAGGGCTATAAATAGGAATTGTGAAAAAACCTTTCATCACTTAAATAGTTTTGCGTGATCCAAATCACGGTAATGACATTTCTAACCCAAACTTGCTGTTAATTCGCAAAATTTTGATAAATCTGGACAGTTGATGGTATTTAAGATAGATTTATAAGCATTCACCTGCAATTAGCCACATTATTGACACCTTTTATAAACTCATGATTCTTGTGTCCTGTTAAGCTGAAAAAAGGTATCCACATCGTTTATGCTTGTTGACATGCTACCAATTCGTGTTTTAGGTAATAATAACTATCTACTGGTTTGACAAAATTCACTCATCTTCCTTTTACAAGATCAATTATTAATGCATTTTTGAAGTTATGAATGGTAGATTCTTCTTCCTTACAGCATTATGCGTACATTTGCATTGCAACAGTCAGGGGTAATAGGAATTCTTTTGGTCTGCAATGCGTTTCTCTTTGGAGTATCGTGGTACTATGGACCTTTCCAACGCATTCCTCTCTGCAAAGATGTAAAAATTCTTGATGCTCAAGGTATTTCACCGCCAGAGGCATTCTTTGTCAAACCGACCTACACTCCGGGCCTCCTTCCCAATCTAACACAAATTCACTGGCCTTCACTCAAATTTGCGTCCTCTCCTAACCCAAACAGTCTCTACAAATCTAAATTTTTCGCACCCAGAATGACAGCCACTCAGCATGGCATGCTATTGAAGTTCATAAACCTGTTTGCGGAAATAATGCGAAAGAATAATCTGGAAGATAAGTGGTTCATAAGCTCAGGCACTCTTCTTGGCTCTCTTCGGCATCACAGCTTCATCCCTTGGGATGATGAAGCTGATGTACTCGCAGACATCAAGTACAGAGACTTAATCCAAGATAGCATTAAGAGACGTCGCATGGAAGGCTACCTTATTACTCCAAGTGGATATAGAGACAAACTTTACATGTCCATTCTGCCCTCAAGTATGGACGATGTGGACGTGGAGGGCTCTAGAAAGATTCCGAGAAAGGACTATGGCTGGCCCTACCTCGACATTTGCTACTACAAAATTGAAGGTGAACACCTTTATGAATTGGAGGAGTACAACCTCCAGAGCTATGTATACCGAGTAGAAGATATTTTCCCTCTGATCTACCGTCCCTTTGGTGGGATGTGGCTGCCAGCGCCCTTCAAATCGGTAAAATTGCTCGTAGATATGTACCCTCGAAATGTTGATTGCATTTACAATGGCTACTCTCACTTGGCCGAGTGGAGACGACGTCATGCTACCGTCTCCTGTGACACCCTTGCGAGCCGTTACGCCTTTGTTCGACGCTGCCCTATACAAGTGGCCCATACAAACGACGCCAATGACAATGTGACATTTGTTGTGGAGCAGATGATCAATCGCACAAACACCGGTAGTTACAGTGTCGTCCACGAAATCACCACACTCGTCCACTCAGCCGAGCGCAATTCGCATTTTGACCCCTTGACAGTCTGAAGCATCTATGAGTGACGGAGGACCCTCCGCACAATTCTACTTTTTGATTGTTTGCGTGAACAAGCAACTCCTTTTACGAACTATACTTTTCAGTGTTGGCACCGAGATTTAGATTCTTTGATTTTTTTTCAACTTTTTTTGCTTACGAATCAGTGAAACGCAAGTTGTTTACTGAAACTGTTGATATTTAAAAAAAGAAAACTCCTTTTATTAAACCCGATCTTACTGGTTTGTTTACGGGAAGAAATTGCACAAGGAAAACAGTCCTACTTAAAGATTTAATAATTCATTTTCTGGCACATAGCAAAACAGTAGCATTTTTATTCCAAACCTTAATTATTCATAGTAGTTTTGAAAACTAGGTTTGAACATTAATTTCATGCATTCTAAATTTCGTTAGAATTTGGGTTTTTTGAGTAGTTTAATTGGCTCAGACAGCATTGTAAATGGAGAATTGCTTCTATTTCGGGTTGTCGAGCTCAACTCCGTTTCTTGTGCGGTTCTGCTAGTACCAATTGTGGTAGAACAGTTGGAAACCTCTGGGAAGTTGGGGCATCAGAGGGGTCAGTTGGCTGACAAAAGTGTTTGCAGTCTGTGGTTAAAAAGAGAACTATGTAGTGCTGTTATATTGGGTACTGCAATACTGCAAGGGTGTTTAAGCAATACGCACCTTACGAACCGTGCAGCACCTAAACATCAGTTGCGGCATTAGCACGTAAGTTGGGGTTTCTAGGTCAGTCGATTGCCTAATACGTAAGTAAAGCCGAAAATGATAGAGTTAAGACATTATGAGAATTGTGCCACATGATTTGCTGCTATCCATGCCAAAATGCGTTAGGTAAAAGAAACTGAGAGTCCAAGATACAGAAGTTGTAGGTATTAGTAATGACTCATTATTTCTTATAAAGGGTGCAGAATTTTGAACCTAGAGATTCGATTGGTGTTGCTTACAAATGACCTTTTACTTTACAAGTGCTACGATAGCCGACGCTTCCTTCTACTCAAACGTTCGCATCTCTCCGCGTCTAGCTGTCTGGACGAGAATGCCGACAACAAGGTAGATGCACAAAAGTGCTCGCAATAATGCCGTAGTCAAAGTGTCGTACTTGCGAAGCTAAAACTAACCTAGCATTCATCGCTCGTCGTCAGTTAACTATCTAACACTTATGCACACCGCAGCCCCCTCATAGCGGCTTAAACACACCCACCTGCAAATAAAAGCATCTGTTTTGGGGACTTGTTACTCGACTGCTATCGTCAAACAGCCAGAGACGCAAGTCTAACTATGCAAGAGTCAGCTCATAGCAAATAAATCCACTGAAGATGGATATCACATAACGGGGAGTAGGGGGGTGAGACCTTGACAGAACGAACGAACCCTCACTGTGGAGGCTCCGTCGATGGTGTGCCCAGAGCGGGCAACTAAGATTGGAGAGAACTGTACGAATCAAAGTTCAAAGTTCATTTTACTTATCTTTTCCCGTAAAGTGATACCGTAGCGGCCAAGCTTATACGAGCTCCCGATAATGCAGCCACTAATGACTTTCATTACATGCATTTTTTAATTAACCAACGGGCAAAATTGGACTTATGATGTGGAACGTATTCCTCTCCTCAAACCTGATACTCATTGATTTATTTTCAGGTGGGAAAAAAATTCGGATCCAGACTATTTTCCAAAGTCAGATAGGAAAGAGAGTGTGTGGACACAACTTCTAAGAGGTCACCATAAGGTCATCATGAGAAAGTGATACAAGTGCACAATAATGGTATGGAAGTGAATGCAAAGAACATTCAATTAGGTATAAAATAAAAAGCTAGATGCTTATCGTTGACACACCAACTATTTGCATGCATTTGGAAAATGGAGTTAAAAGAAGGTAACAAGTTGATGAAACACACCAGCAGCCTACTTTTTGTGAATGCATTGACACATTGAGGGGTAGGATTTATAGCTACATGTGACTGTCTCAGGGGGCGTTGAGAAAACTTACATCGAAGTTACCTTTTCACAAACTACACGCAATCCTGCTCAAATGATCTTGAAATTGGAGATGGAATTGATTTTGCCTTCACCGTAAGCAATATTCACTGCGCATACGGTTATTGGGTTTATGAAGAGCATGCAAAGTGCGTGCCAAGTGTGCGTTGGGGCTCCAGCTAAATGTGACTATATCCAGCTTCAAATGTTTCGCGAGTTAGCTTAAAAGTGCGAATGAATAGGGAGTATGCAACACAATCCTACCTGCCATGTAATGTCACGTCGACATTTTGCCAAATGACGGCCGTATTAGCCAACTTTAATCATGTGACGGGTAGAGTAAGGTGCACCCTATGTGCCCGATAGTGGTCTTTGAGGCAACTATTTGGATGCATTATCCCCCAATCTAACCTGTATTTTGTAAAGGAACTTATTCGGAGTACCTTGTATGCATATCGTTCTTGATTTTAGGGTAATGGTTTTATGGCTTACATTGCATGTCTGATTTGGAATTGGCTCTCCTCGATCTGTAATCAGCAGGAATCTTTATTGAAACTAGCTTCTCTGCTCATAGCTTTAGCATTGCTGACTTGAAAGCGAAGTTCATATCAGCCAAAATTCGATCCTTGTCTATTATCGAAGAATAAAAGTTCATGTTATTTGAAAATCTTACACAATACCTAAAGAACCTTTATTGTTCCATGAGACCCTATAAGCGCTAATTGCAGTTACTTTAGTAGACAAGTGCGAAACTAAGTAAATAACTTTGTCTAGCAACCCGACCACCTTTGCTCCAACTCTTGTAATACTACTAGTGGAATGTTCTCCGCCATCATCCGTGCTTTTGGAAAATGGTGATAGACCTCATACCCACGGAATCGGTAAACAGACCTTAATCCGATCGGCACATGGTTAACTCCAGAATGACAAATCCCCTCAGAAATAGAAACTTAGACAAAACAATGTGATCTTTGAATCTCAAAGAGACTGGTAAACAAAGGTTAAAAATATTCACGAAAAGGTCGCCTGTAATCGCAATGGGTAATGAACGCAGCAGCAAGCGCTAGCTTTTTCCTTCTCGGCATTGTCATTTAACATGATTAGTGTACAATATCCGTAAAAACGATCAAACCATTCAAGTTAAGCCGTATGTACGGCAAAGTGGAGTTAACGACGTGAAAAAAAAAAGATTCGTCTGTCTTGGCTGTTCATGCGTTTTCGAAAGGAAGGGTTGGTTGCTTTGCTACAGCTGGTACTGAAAGAGGAGATAGTTAGGCATAGCCTAGCAGATCTGACTGAGGCTTTAGCCGCATCAATAATAATCTCGCATTCCGACCAAGTGCCTTTAGCCAGACACCTTCCACATAACTCCACATTCCTAAATCAGCTAAACATAATGCAGTCGAGTCACAATAGTACCAAATTTCAGATGAAGAGCAGTCTTTGTTGAAATGTATCGACTAAGCTCTAATTACAAAGTGAACTAATGCGTGCATACACGGGCGCGGTCAACCATGCTTGAATGCGTATCTACATGCACACATGCGCACTTATGTTAGCACCATCTGTATCAAAAATCGATTGGGATTCTTCCCAAGGGAACTTTTAAAACAGCTGATTTAAAAATGGTGATATGTCCGAAAAATTGTAACCTTTAGTTGATAAAATAGTTTCACATTTGTGAGTTGACAGCATGATTAGGTAAACAAACCGAATTATTTGAACTTCCTTGTCCCTAAATGCATAAAATTGCAACAAACTCTTCCACTGAATAAAACTAATCAAAAATGGAGTTCATAAGATTAACAAAGTAGCTATATGTGTTGTAGCGTCCCGAGGCTTCCCATGGGATGGAAGAAGGCAGTAAAAGAGGCTGGACACATGCATTCCGAAGGGAACAGAGCAATTGGACCTGAGCATCGCCCGAAGGCCAGCCCACGAGTACAAGGGCCAGACAATTTCTAAAGTGACCGCAGAACATCAGGTAGTCACATAAACAAAGCATCACATGTGTTGTGCTTAATTTTGAGGTTCTCACCGGACTAAGTTATGGTGTGCTAGTAACAGCAAGGCCTTGTTCCTATATTCTCGGACTGACATTCCTCTGAAATTTCTGCCTAACAGCATGAAATGATCGAAGGATGTATGGACAAGTAAATTTATATAAGTTTTGAAGGTGACAATTCCTTTTGCAAAAGTAAGCGATATGTGTATGTGCCGATCCTTAATAGACAATTACGACCTAGTTTCAGATTTTGTGGCACACTCTTTTTCGTCCGTATTTTTTTTAAACTACAAGGCTTTTGGAGCGGATAGAATGAATGGATTGAATTATATTTTCAATTGCAGTCAGTTGCATGCGAAGATCGGCTCTGGTTCAGAAAATTTCTGGCCGCAGACCTCCTTCATGATTTGCATTACTTGCATTTATATCAAGTATTATGATGCTTCAAAGATTAAACTACATTTACTTACCTTTATCTGCACAATTCGCTATCTAAAAACACCTACTTGTTAAGAGTAGGGCTCAAAATTAAACCAAGACAATTCCAACTCAGTGTAATGCTTCGTTTATGTGACTATCTGGCGTTTAGAGGTCACTTTAGGGCTTGTCTAACTCTTGAACTCGTTGGTTGGTTTTCGGGTCGTGCTCAGGTCTAATTGGTCTGTTCTCTTTGGAATACATCTATCCAGCCTCACTTACTGCCTTCTCCACCCTACCAAAAGTCTCGGGACGCTACACTGGTGGCAGCGAAAAGCGAAGCCGACATTTATCCAGTGACCTCCGTCCCTAGCGATACCGTTTGTTGCATGTACCTACAGTGTGCAAGGGGCACATTTGCATCGGTGGCGGAGACTCTCCGAATCCCTCGTAACGAAAGGATTTAAGCGGACGTCCGTATTTGGTTTCATCTTATTCCCATGTTTCACAAACAAGCTCTTACTAACTGAAGCGACGCCTCCGTGAACCATCTGGAGGTGTCGAAAATAACACTAGGGTTCTCCTTATATTCAGGACAGTGACTCATCCAGTTTTCTTGCAACATATGTTTTAGACCAGAGTTCCACCATCTAGTCCTGGAATCAATTGGTGGTCAGCAGAGGCATGCGCTCCCGAATCTGGTTGTCAGACCGGACGTAACTCCAGATCCTGTTGAAGCTGTCGATGAGACCAAGTGCGGTTCCTCAGTTTCGTGGTGACTGCCAACTGGCGCGATTGGCTCGTGGGTGCTTTCTTGTAGTGCCGAATATGTTGTGATGACTGGCGTGGGAGGTGCGCAAAGGGGAACGCCGAGGGCGTCGCTCAAAAGGAGAGGGGCAGTGTATTGCTTTTTTGCTTGACTACCTGGCGTTTGGCGGTCACTTTAGAGTGTCTGGCCCTTGTATTCGTGGGCTTTTCGAAGTCTCGAGACGCTACAGAGACAGCAAACGAGAAACATTTATTGTTTTTTGTATTTATACAGTACAATAGTATCTGAAAAGGTGCAGCTACATACTTCTGTACACGGTACCTCGATATAGCATCAACACATAGTTTAGGCATGGGAGACGAACGAGGACAGGGGAGGGCGATTAAATGCAACATTGAGCAGAGGGGCAAGAGATGGCGATGAGTCAGGAGTTGATGAAATTTATTCAATTCGGCACGTGTCGAAGTAGAAGGAAGAACGAACAAGGCGCATAGCAGAGTCGTAGGAACCTGAGAGGACGCTGTCATGCAGTGCCGCTAGCTCCGACTGGACTGCCTGACTATCTGGATCACGCCTCGGATAGGATGTCTCATTCAGTAACTTCTCCATCAAGTAGTGCAGCCAGTAGAGATTAGTGATGGGACGAAACGGTCGCCAGTTATTTCTGGAGCGTAAACATGAACGCCATTCAGCAACAAATCATTTTTCTTCCAGCCAAGATACGCTAATTTCTATGTAAGATTATCACAAGTAGATCTTAGTGATCAGTCTAATTTAGGCACATAACTCTAAAAAAACCTACTCCTTAAAGGTTATAAACATATAAATCTTGATTGCCAATACCCCGAATTGATCTGTATTTCAATGACAATAATAATCGAGCCTAATAACGTCATTCACGATAAAATCGTGAACCCGAAGCGTTCTGCAACTGGAATATCCTTAAGTACATTTTTTTAGCGGAAGTCTCACTAGAGGTGAAAAGAATCGAGCTCAAATAGCGTACAAATCGTAATACCACCTCAAAATACAACCTCTTGGGTCACCAGCACCCTATTGTCTTTACGCAATTTCAGAGTAGAAATTAAGCTAGTCATGCCTTTACTTCCGTCCGCGTGACAAAGAGCGGTTGACCAGAAAAGAAGAGGGTCAGCAATATGAGCAAATAATCGCATGGCAAAGTCCAACTTGAAATAGAAGACAAGGAAGGAGTGAGATTAAGTAACATGTTAAATTAACAAAACAACCTTCATCGAGCGACTGTACTGGACTCTACTGCACAGATTTCTCAAATGGAATCGTAGTACAAATAATTTTTAGATCTCGGCTGAAGACTAATCCAACACTGCCAATCTCAAACACAGCGTAAGGACACAGTGAGGATAACAGCGGCCCCAGCAACACTACGATTGATTGTTGAGCCTTAATAGAAAAGATTTTATCTAGCCAAGTCTATGCCAACAAAGCCAGATACCAAAATGGAAGTTCTGTTTCAGATAGCAATGCAAATAACACAATCTAAATTTTCGATTTGCCTTAACAGTTTTCGAAGGAATGATTTCGTATACAAAAGCGCATGTTAGGTAGCTTTAAATTTCACACGATCAATAGTTTGTGACGCGAACCTACCACGATCTCTGGTAGTTTACAACCGTTTTGTTTCAATTAAACATTTCAAATTTAGAAGGCGTTTGAGATGGTTTGGTGCCATGATGATAAGGTTTGCTACTCTGGTAAGGCCAGGAGAGCTGTTAGATAAATGCAGGTCTGAAACCTTATCAAGACAACTTGGAGATAAGTTTTGAACGGTAACAAAACTTGATTAATGAATAGGAAATGAGGAAATACGGAAAATGTGTGTGCGAAAATTATAAATTGTCAGTAACTCTGGTTTTAGACTAAAACGCGCAGACGATAGTGAACCGTTTGAAACAGTGCTGAATGAAGCGAAAAGTTAGACGATCGGCCGTACCCGTTCATATCTCGCATCATTCGGTAAATTTCGAACTGATAGTCACCTTCACATTCGAAAATTTCAGGAGAATCGGACATGTCCACATACACGATGTTGCCCTCTAAAAAGTTGAAAACTTTAAGCAGAACGCACGCTTTCCTACGCAAAATTCATTGCCAACTGTTTAAATATGTTTACTTACATAATTTCAGCAGACCATTTTGTGTATTGGAACATTCATCACATGCAGACAGATTAGTTGCCTAATAGGTTTCAATGACAAAACTCCAAACAAGGACATACAATGATTATGTGAACGATAAAATGAAAAGTACACAAAAATCAGCGAAAGTAGTCGCAATATACTCAGACTTAGTTCTAAATGACCCTGAAAAGAATTAAATCGATGGCTGATGTCCCATTTCCAAAATTAACCCGGCTTGAACTTACAAATTTCAAAAATACACTGCGATAAGGAACATATGTAGTTTGAAAAAAAAAGGTTCGTTGCATACAGAATCAAATGAGAAGTAGCTGCGCTTGTAATGCTTAGCTTAATATTTGGTAGTGTGGCACAAAAGCAAGAATTTATGAACCAAACAACCTTCATTCTTTTAACTTTGTGGGGTCATCAAGTGGGATAAATAGAGCGCATACCATGGCAAAGACGGGAGACCGTGAAGTCAATTATGCAGACCCGTACACCCTCTGTCTGCACGGAGTAACTAACTCCGTTGACTCGATAGCGCAATTTTGTCTGCTTCGTGGGCTTCACAAGGACATTGAGCCAATGGAGATCACGATGCTCAAACTGCAGAGCAGATTCTGCTGCCGCCAAGGATAGAGCTATCTGTTCAATCACAGAACGCGCCTCCCGGTACGAAGAAAACTAAATGGAGGCCAAGGCTTTAAGTGGGAGACGGAGGAAAGAGCAGGAACATATGTGTTTACATAAGTATCCTCATGCTCTAAATTAGAAAAGCTCTTCAGACCGCGGTCAAAATAATCCGTCGAATGCTCGCAAATACTTTGTAAGTGAAGAATTCCGCACCCGAAACTGGAAATAGGGACTACGTTTATTTATGAGAAGGCTTAAATCCACAGCTTTTATTGAAGTTCGGGAAGTTCGACATGGAGAAACCAATAACAGTGTTAATAATTGGTGAATTGACAAAAAAATTTCTTAAAAGACCGTGTTACCAAGTTAAAATGAAAGTCATTTCAGATCAATGTAAGGCAAGATAGAAGCGGACAGTTATGGAAATTCAGGCACAGCTGAGACCAAAGTCGTGTTTGGAATGAATAAATCCATTAAAAGCAATTTGGCGACAGATAGAGCTGGCAACCACCCAACAAATGATGACAATTAGCAAACGGAAATTCGTAAATGTAGGCGACGAATGGACTGATCACGTTGCCGTGCATACCATGACAATTATTCTTGAGCAGCAAATTCATTTGAAAGAAGATTAATTTTTTCAATCATCAAATAGTGGATAATGCAGCGAATTTTTCCCAATTAATAAGTTCATCCCTTAATTTTACAAACCCCAATCAAATTTCATAAGTACACAAAAATATTTTGATGGCCATGTAAAAGATCGTATACAACAGTTGATGTGCTTAATTGAATGCAAATGTTCAAGTTTTCACACAGATCTCAAAAAACAATTTAAGTTGCATCTCAAAGTCAGGTCCAAAAAGTCAAGCCAAACGGACATAAATGCACCCCCAGGATAGCATGACCTTAATATACAACGGCAGTGACTAGGTCATTCATACTGGCTTTTCGGCTTAGGAGGGGCACGACGAACCAATAAAGCCAGTCTCACTGACATACGTACAAACATCGGGATGTGAGCACGAATGCTACGTAGATGGATGAACATATACTCAAATATGCTTGCATTAACAGTCGCAGAAAACTAGCATATCCCGAACTAAAATAGAGGCATGGAATTGAAAGACTAAATTTTAACAAACTGACGAGACAAACGATTCTGTTAGTGATAAGCTCCTCTGGGAAAAACAAGTAGATTACTCAGACATAAGGAATAACCGAGCAATGGATAGTAGCGCTATCAAATAAGGAAACAAGTCACCTTAATAGTACCCAGGGGCTTGCCAGCATAGTCAAATTCAAGAATCATCCACTCCTGAGATCTAGGGAGGAAATCGAGACATTCGTTGTCAGAGCCATGCTCTGCTTCGTACTTTTTCCAAGCCGCAGTCAATTCTGCTGGCCATTTGCCGCAAACGATGGCGGCTCTGAAAAAACATATTGAAGAATTTGTGCTCATAAAATCGACAGAATGGGATAAACGAATGCTGCATACCTTCGCAGCTGAATGAAATTGACAGTTCTATTCTGACGATACTTGAAGCCAAGTTCTGTAAGCTGTCTGAGACCGGAAAAAGACACACTTAGCAAAAATATGACTTAGGATAAGGCGGAACTAAAGACATAAAAAAGAAAGAACATACTTTGAAATAAAAACCTCCGGATAGACGCGATGTGACTCCATTTGTTTTTCTCCATTAACAGGAATATTGCCATCAATGGGGAACACTTTTATAACACAAGTTTTGTTGGCCTGAAAGACTTCAGCGTAGACTCCCTCACCGATCTTAGAAATATTTTCTAAGCTTCTAGAGAATATGTAGCAGTAAGCACCAATAGTACGTACTCAGCGTCGAAAAAGGATGAAAACGACCGAACTTCTGTTTGACCACAGAGTTCCATCAATTTTGTCCGAGGATCACCAACTATCGACTGATTCTAAAACGAAAGAGAGCTAAGACTGGTAACCTAGTTGACGCAGCAAACAAGGTACAGAAAGAGGATTTACGAAAATGGACTCATCAGCCCTCCCCGAGAAGCTTATTTTTGACAACTCCGGTGCCTCTTCAGCATCAAACTCAATGCGCCTAGCATTCAGTCGTTTCATTTTCGCAGCTTGGTCTTTGCTCATAGATCGAAAGCGACGCGGTGAGAAAAGTGGTGAGAGCAGAGAATCAGTGTGATGTAAAGGAGAAAGGGGACCACTGAAGTTTTCACGATTCTCTAGATCAGATGTTCCATTCGATGATAGGCTCCAAGCGTCAACCTCAATACTCTTTTTAGTGGGAGTAGAACGATTTGGAATCCCATCGCCATTGAAGTTTCGAAGTCTATTCCTAATGTTCGGAGTTTTCAATGCTCGTAAGGAATGACGAGCCGATTTTCTGGTCTTATGCACATCATCAGAGACATGATTTACGTAGGAACGCGAACGCAATCGCATAGTATCTGTAAGTGAAAATATGCCTCCGAACCAATGCCAACAAGACTATTTCAACACGGCACAACGATAAAATATTTGTACTACAGAGATGAACCTCCAAAAAATAGACAAATTTTATCCTGCAGAGATAGGGTGTGAGGCAGCAGATTCTACAGTGTCACAACAAACATAAAATGTAATGTAAAAATGTGAATTTTAGCTGTCTGACTTCTATTGGCTGAATCAAAAATGGCACCCGCAAACGTAAAAAAGGTGTGGTAGAGGGAGAATATTCGACCACAGTGAAATTAAAAGCAAAAAATGTCATTGCAAACACAAAGCAAAAAGTTAATTTTAAGCCTTATCGGCAATTATCAACAAAAAAGGCAATACGGAAATTTTAATTTTGAAGCATGAGAAGCTGGTAGTGTTACCGAAACTAGACATTGGATTGTAATCGTTCCTTATAAAGTTCCAATGTAGGAACTGCCTGCTTACTCTCATGCCTTTGAACCAAGTACTTCAAGAGATTTAGTTGCACCCGATTAATTAGGCAATGAATACAGAGGAGAATGGGAATAAGAGTACAGATGGTCCGATTAGACAATATCATCCGTAGGTATTCCTTACAGTCCTCGTGGGAGAGATTCTTGTTCCAATTCCTTTCCCGCCTCTCTTTTATCAAGGTCAAATTGAAAAAAATTAGCATCTATTAAACCTAAGACTTCACACTGGGTAGAAGAAGGCATCAAGTGGAGCCGAATACATGTATTTCAGGGAGAACAAAGACATCATGTCTAAGCTTGGCCCGAAGGCCAGCCCACGTTTACAACAACCAGGCGAATATTAAAGTCACCACCGGAGACTAGGTGGCTACATAAACAAAGTAGTGAGCTGCCACCTTCTTCTTCTGAGCGTCGTCCTCGACACTCTCCTCGGTACACCTCTCACACCAGCCATCACAACAAATTCGGTACTGCAAGGAAGGAAGCTCCCACGAACCAGCCAACAGCTGCCATGAGACTGAGAAACGGTGTGTAACACTTTGCTTATGTAGCCACGTGAGGTCTGACGGTCACTTTACGATTTGTGTGGCCCATGCTCAGGTCTACCTATTATGCTCTCCTTAGAATACATCTACCCGATACGAAGTCTTGGGACGCTACACGGTGCTTGGTCTTTTCAGCGCCTTCAACTAGACCTGGAGTTACGTCCGGTCTGACAGGCAGAATCAGGCTCTCCTGCAGCTGATGGGCGTCAATTGCTTCGAGGGCTAGACAGTGGAAATCTGCTCCAAAACAAATGTGTCATTTCCGACACTTATGCACGGATGTAGTTAGAGAAATTGCGACACTAAACTTCTCCG